AAATGGACTATTGATTCCAAATTGTTGGAAGCTATTATAGATATAGGACAAGAGCTGTAAATTAGCTTCATTATTTGGTCCTAGTATAATATTTATTACATTAAGTGTAGTGTGCCCTGCTGGGAGTATAATTCCAGCTTGTAAAAAAAAGGGTCCAGAAAAGTGTGGCAGATTTTTTCTTTTACCGTGTCAGCCACACTCTCATTTACTCGATCTTGATAGTCCGAATACGAGAAGTGTCTTAATCTAGACACTCTCCAAGTTGATAGGATCCAAATGAAAAACGGAAATATAATGGTAGGATTTGCCATCAAACTTATGAAATAATTCAAAAAAATTGATCGGGAAGATTCATTGTGTATTTTATTTCGTTTCCTTCCTTATCAGAGAGGGGCCCCTTAGGGAGCGGGGCTTTTTTATTAAAAAAAGGGGCAAGAAAAGGGGCTATAAGTAGGCCGTTTGCTATTGCTATGCTATAAGGGCTGCTCGCCTTTATACGGCTTGGCTTCGCTATCGCTCTTATGTAGGTAGTGGTCCACCTAAAAAGTAGTCTTCCTGCCATACCAGAATGCCTATTATCTAGAGCTAGAAGCTTCGCCAGAAGCAAGCAAGATGAGGTCGCTCTACTTCGTAGACAAGGCTCGTTCCGTACTTGACTTACGAGCTCGTGTAGTACTCACCCCTATCTCTAAAGGGGCTTATGCACTCCACTCGCTGTCTACTAAACGAGCGTTAGAGCGAGCGAGCGAAGCCCTCAATTTCACAAGAAAACGGATGCGCGTTAGCTAAACGAACAAGGAAGACGCGTAGCGTCACTTTACTCACGCACAACGGCTTCTTATTAACATATAGCGTCTGTAGCGTTAGAAGCCGTTGCTTGTTCCCTCACCCTACTCTTTCATTTCCGCTTAAGCTTCCCCGGTTTGTGGGATTAATTGATTGAATACCCGAGAACCATAATCTTTCCTAGAAACAGCTTCTACGACGATAGGCATAAAGGCATGATTCGTTCCACAAATCTCACTGCACTGACCATAGTAAACTCCTTCTCGTTGTACCGAAATAGAGGTCTGATTTAAACGACCAGGTACAGCATCACATTTTACACCTAAGGAAGGTACAGCCCAACTATGAGGTACATCAGCAGATGTTACAATAATACGTAAATGAGTTTTGGCTGGTACAACCACTCTATTGTCCACTTCTAATAAACGTGATTGACCCAATTCTGGATCATCTTCTGGAATCGTATAACTGTCAAAAGTGAGAGACTGTTCATCGGAACTGTTATAGTCCGAATACTCATAAGGTTGGGTCGACGCCCGCCTCCCCCCAAACTGTACTTGCAAGTTTCCCCGCAAAAAGCTCTCCACGCCTACTCTTAGAAAGAACACTTTTTTTCTTTAGTTAGGTAGTTCTCCCGACCGTAAGACCTTTTATGAGTAAGGGTAATAGAAGGCCGGGGAAAGTTTATTGGCAAGAGGGAACCGTTTCTCACCCAGCCCTACCTACCCTATGTATTCGAGGGGGAGGCTAGAACCGAAAAAGACCTGGTTCCACACATATGAGACAGGCAGAAGGTATGGGACGAGCAGTTTCTTGAAGAGCGAATTCGATCCTATAGTCTCGTCTTCTTTGTTCGATAAATTCACAGTGGAAAGGGATGCTAGTCGGCTCGGCGAAGTTGTAGCCCCAAGAAATCAGATCCAGAGTTATTCCTCACCTATCCTGTCAGGGGCCCAGTGGAGCGCTCGAGTATAGATTCTCTATGCTCATGTAAACGGCCGGCCCGTAGATCTAAAAGGATCCATCCATAGGCCTGACCGGATATCGTTTGTCCACAAACAAAACAAAAACCAAGTAGGTTTTTAGTAGTAGTTCATGAGACCTCGAATTCCCACGTTCCAGCGTGCATTATGCCAACAGGTCCCACCCCCAACTCTAGCTGAGAAGTTGAGGCACCCTTCTTTTTTTTTTCAGAAATAGAATAAAGAAAGAGATAGTCTATATCCTGTATCGATCATAGGATCACTCTATGAATAGGTAAATTCTCTGTGACCTCCCACCGTTCACGACAGCCCTTGCTTCTCGCTGCGAACGGCTCCTCGGTGGAGGAGTAGAAGCGCTGGTCCCCTTCGGTCAACTTGCTTGTGCCTGCTGTTACCTACCGTAGGACCTCCGTCCCCGAAGCGAAGAAAGAGGGGCAGGAACAAGAGGTTGTCCTCTCCCAGCCCAGTAGTTCCGCAACTACTACCGTGGTTGTTGCCAACGGGGATCCCCCATTCCGAAAGGTTACTAGGCCGGCCGTTAGGTCCAAAGTTGTATACCACTGCTATGGTGCCGATAGATTCACTACTTCAGCGCCGTTATCGGACATTGCAGGCTGAGCATCTATTTCTCGTATATCGTTCCACACCGAGAAGAGGGATGTGTACCTCCAGCAACAACAAGAATGGAACCATAGGCTCCTATGCTGGGAGCATTTCGGGGTATAGGTCTAACCACCTCAACTCCCCGTTTCTGGCATGCTATAGTTATGAAAGTCTCTCGACGGCGGGAATGGGAGATTACCGGTAAGCCAGATGCTTCGCGAACCATATGAAACTTTAAGGCATTTCGTTGCACTTAAATCACCCTCGTGAAGAGGCGCACTCCGATACCATTGATGTCCAATAGCTTTGATAGTAATGGCTGGATCTACTACTACCTCGTCCATTGAGTATAACAGAGCAAATGATGGTATAGCAATGAACATCGGGATGATACTAGGAAATATGGTCCGAAGAATCTCGATAGTAGTTCCATGAACAATCCTTTGCGGGATTGGATTTTTTTTATAGTGGAAATGCCATAAAGCGCGAACCAAGATCCATGATACGAAAACCAAAATCAGAATGAGGAAGAAAAAGATATCGTGATGTAAGTCTATGATTCCTTGCATCATAGGTGTTGCTGCGTCTTGAGATCCTAATTGCCATGGTTCCGCTGCATCACAAGGAGCAATTGTGAGGAATAGCCATTCTAGAACAATCATTTGGTTTGGTTCATTCTTTGACTGCTCTGCTCCCCCCAAACAAAAAGAGAGACTTGTTCTTGCTCACGGAAATCGCCGGTTGGGTTTACCAAGAAAAACATGGGAATAATTGGACGTAACATTCTTTAACCGCTTATTTACGATATTTCGAGTTGGATGAAAAGAGCGCTCCTAAAAGCAGCCCAGATCTGATCTGATGCACGTGGAAAATCAGTCCTTTATACGCAGTCTTCGGATTCCCCTAGCACGTAATCCGTAGCCCCTCCCCAATCCCCCTTTCTTTGAGTTTTTAGATGAAGATCTCATTGTGATGTCTCGTTCCCTCTTTTCTTTCATTTCACTCTATTGTATGAATTCAACCAATAGAGGAGTGGGATACTCAAAAAGTAGTGGCAGGAATCGATTTCATCGTAGGGGGCGTAGTCATTGTTCTTAGTTCTCTGTAAGTTGATTGCTGCCCGGAATTCGTGATCCTGGCTCAGACGAGAGAAAGCTAAGGATATACTTCTCAAATGCAAGTGCAAGTCGAACGAGATACCTCTTGCAGTATTAATCACTCGTTCATCTGCCGAACCATCCCTGCCTTGGTCTTCCCTCTGTCTCTGTCTTCGCTCGCTTGGCTCGGCTCGGTATCCTCCCGGAAGAATACACACTCTCCTTTGTTCGAGCTTTGCTGGTAGATTTCTAATTAAGACTACTTTGGTACATAAAGAGGTATTATACAGAAGTTAATACACCTTAGACTTCTTCTTCCAATCCCTCTCTTATCGAATGAATGAGCAGGTAAGTACATTCATCTTCCCCCTTGACTAAGCATGATTCCCCGGTCGATTGAGTCGAAACTTCCCCTTTGTACCGATTTCCCCATGTACCTAGGTAGCGAGTGATTAAGACAGCCCGATGAGCTAAGAAGTCAAGAACGTTGTTTATTATCCCCTTTCCATCAAACTTCTACCGAGCGGGAGAGAAAGGTAGAGAGAGTGCATAGTGCTGATAGCGAATAAAAGGCCGTTGAGCGTGTTGGCCACACCTATAATTCAAAGAAAAAAAATATCTTATTTAGAAAGAGTTTCTTTGTTGGTGTTAAGTTAATAGGTTTCTTTCTCTAGCTGCGCCCCCTTAGTGCGAGGGTTGAAGAAAGGTATAAAATGCCCCTATCAAGATAAAGTGGTCAACGCATGCTAATTCAGCAGGTTCGAGACCATCATACAAGGGGATCAAGAAAATAAAACAAGAAGCGCCCCGGGCGACTGACAAGTGAAGAAGTCCCGTTTTGGCATGAATCGATTCCCAGCAGGGGCAATCATCCGAACAACTCCAGATTCTATTGATTCGGACCAGCTGATCTGTTTCATACGAAAATTGAAATCTTCAGAAATGGGATAGTTCATCAAGCCACTAATATCTCGGGAGTTTGCTCTCCGATGAAACCCCTTCCGCTTGCTAAGCTCAAGAAAGACGCTTCCCAACTCAACCCACTCCCACTCGACTCTTAAAAAATAGCTTAAACTTTTTCTTTTCAAATAATGTCCGAGAACTTTTATTAAGTAAACTATTTTATATTCAGCAGCTACATCCTTAGAATGAAGTTCCGGATAACAAACTAGGAAGTGCTTCTACAACCTAGGGATGGAAAGAAACAACACCTTCTGATCAATGAAAGATCCTTTGTGAGTGAGACTCTATTTATTATTAATTATATATATATAATAAATAGAATAAACCCCGTTCCGGAATAGAAGAGGGGAGCTATCCTCAAAAAAGAGAGTTGGAGGTTCCTGAAAATGGGTGGGTTTGGTTATTTCTAGTTGGTCATGGAAATGCCGCGGGGGGGTATGGCGACACGAGTGCCAGGGAGTATAAGAGCAGCGAAAGGTACGTACGGTGGAGGTTGGTTGAAGATGATGTTACGCGGCGTTCAGAACCAGTCTTGAAGTTAATGAATTAGAAAAGAAGAAGTAAGGAAATGAGACGACTCTTTCTTGAACTATATCATAAACAGATCTTCCCCTCCACACCAATCACGAGTTTTTCTCTATTCCTCTCGTATATCGTCGTAACGCCCTTAATGCTAGGTTTTGAAAAAGACTTTTCATGTCATTCCCATTTAGGTCCGATTCGGATCCCTCCGTTGTTTCCTTTTCCTTCCGCACCTTTTCCTCGAAATGAGAAAGAAGATGGTACACTTGAATTGTATTATTTAAGTGCTTATTGCTTGCCAAAAATCCTACTTCTACAATTGGTAGGTCACCGGGTTATTCAAATAAGTCGTGTTTTCCGTGGTTTTCCCATGTTACAACTTCCGTACCAATTCGGTCGATCCGGAATGGATCGGTTAAACATTCCATTAGGGAGCCTGGTCTTGACTCTTCTGTGTGGTATTCATTCTCGTTCGGCTCTTGGAATCACATCCAGCAGTGGTTGGAACAGCTCGAAAAATTTAACCACTTCACCTACTTCATTGCCCCCAACCGTTTCTCGTACCTCTATTGAAACAGAATGGTTTCATGTTCTTTCATCGATTGGTTATTCCTCTCCGTTCGTATCTCTTTTTCCAATTATTAGTTCACACTCGATTAGTTCACAAGATTGAATGGCCAATTCTCCTCCGAACCCTCGATTCGATTGTTTTCCAAGAATGTTGAGCCGGGTATGTAAGCCATGTATCTGGGAGGAACTTCAATAAAAGAAGAAGGGCTTTCGGTTTTTTGCACCCCGTTTTGGTCTTTCAGCTATTTCAAAATGAAATAGATCAAGTAATTAAGTAACTTTAGATCTTCTTTTTTAGAAGAAAGATTCTATATATGTCCAATCTCTAGTGGTGGTGGGACCAACCAAGATGTATGTCGTCCGACCCGACCTCAGACTCTTTCTTCCCGACCTATTTGACTCTCTGGCCGCAGTTATTTAGGTGGTATTCCGAAATTGAAGAGATCGAATTCCTCCCAGGAACACACGAAACAAAGATATGAACTGGGTAAATAGAAATGGAAAAAAGATGTTTCCAATTCATCAAAATTAGAAGCTTTTTCTACATCCATATGATCTACTAAAGTAGATCGGTATTGACCATATAATAAAAGCAGATCTTGGTCCATGGAGTCCCAAGAAGGTAAGAACTCCAACCTGTCCGATGCTTCTTCGGCCAAATACGATATACAAGTGGGACCTGCACTATGAGCAAGCTGTGCGAAAAACCGCTTCTTTTTTCCGGTTAAGAAACTACTTGGGCGAAATAGGGTTCTACCGGGAAACCATGGATTTTTGAGTTTTCGCCATTGGTTACTGGTTGAGCCACTGGAATGGAATGAGATAAGAATCTCTGGAGATCTTTCCTCTCCACTTACTCGTAACAGGCTTTTCTTCTGTAGAAGACTTCTTCCGAATGGCATAATTGTCCTATTTTTTCCTCGATCTTCAAACTGACTCCTCCTACTCCTCCTCCTTCTCCTTTAGGATCCTCGTTGGTCCTTTTTACATAACATTCTCGGCCGCTTAAGATACTTACTATCTCTCTCTATCTATCTTTATACGCAATATCTTTCTTTAAAAAGAAGAGTGACTACTGATTTCTGCTCGTAGTTCCTCTCTAGTTAGTGTACTCGTGGTACTCGGTAGTGCGCTCGTGATACAGTACTCGCGCAACAGCGCTTACAGCAGCTCGTAGCAATTGTATGCACGGTCGTTCGGATAGATGGGGCAAGCACAAATGATGGTAATGGAATGAATCATTCATAAAAAAAAAATTCTTTCATTACAGCGAGAAAGGCCCTTCCCTGCCCTGCCCGTACTATTACTAGATTGAGCACCTTCTTTTGCTTTTCTTTCGAGTGCCGAAACTGTACGCATCTCCCGACACTTCACTAACGGTTTAGAAGCTAAGTCACTTGACTTGACCTGTGAGGCTACTTTTCCAGTTAGTTGAGAAGTAGCCATTTGCTTCAAACAGGCACCTTGTAGAACCCTTAAGTTAAGGCTTTTTATAAAAAATTCCCTCCCAAAACCAGATGAAATAGCTTCAAAATGTTCATACCAATTTGACCATCCGGCACTAACGAAGTAGGTCGATACCAATAACAGGAACCGAAAGCCGCTCTCTTCCATAAAGAAGAGCGAAACTCTCACTCTCGCCTATCCGATCAATGGAAAGAAATGACTCCTAAATCAGTCCCTAAAGCGTAGGAATGTTAATCAACTCCTCCCTAAGGCTTCTACCCTCGGATGAAAGAAGTGCGCGGGTAGAGCAAGAACTATGAGCGGGTAACCCGGGGATGAGAGTTGGCTATGAGCTAGACTAGAGGGGATTACCCTTTTTTTCTTCAACTATAGGGCAGGCAATTCTCACTGCAAGTGGATGTAAGAAGGGATTAAGTCAGACTTTTTTAGTCTTAGGGCCTTATCACTGGAAAGAAACTAGCAGCTCTAATTCTCTCTCATATTAGATAGAAAACCCCCCCAACTCGATCGAAGGGAGAAGAACTCTCAGGCAAAAAGAGTTAGTCCTCTTCGCCGGGTTACAGAGCGAGTCAGTTAGGTCCGAAAGACTTTCTATTAATCATTTGAATTGGTAAAAGCACTGGATCTCCCATTGCTGGGAAGGGAACTAAACTATTACCACCTATGGATCATACCTATTGGATTGATCTTTCGATAGAAAGTATTCGCTCGGCTGGATCAACATAAGCTTATCGTAGGACTGCACTTGGGGAGGCTTACCCCTGGAACGCAACTACAACGGCCCGGGTGATGAAACTGAAGTGAGTCATTCTGCTTGTATCGACTTCCGTCTGTTCAATACCGATACCTGTCATATTCCATAGCTGTTCTTTCTTCCCTTGATCGTCACGCAAGACGCTTTTCTGACACAAACCTAGTAGTTCTTTGTCCTGCCGATCTTGGGTGAACTGATGCTCCAAGACCAAGAGTTTTCACAGCCAAAGCTATTGAAGCCCTTCTTTTCCTATTAAGTAATATGAAGTAAGTCTTCCTCTGGTCGACTTATCCCTCTGCTCTTCCTTTGGTTATATACCTAATCACCTACCTGTATCAGTTGATTCTCCTTCTTCCTTTCTTATTTGAGGATTCAGCCCTGGTTGATAGTTTGTTTCAGTTGAAGGGAGGTTTGTAAATAAACCAATTCCTTCTGTCGTGTATTCCCGATTCATGCAGCCTTAGATGCTTCAATTGTCGATTTTAGTATTGAGGTTACACCTATGGATTATTTATTGTAGGCCAACTCTACTGCACTAGTACCAATAGGCGGCATAGAAGAAGAAGAAAATAAGCACTACGCCTAGGAAAAAACGAAAACTTTGTTAGAAATTACCCCCTTTCCTTATCGGGATCGGGATTCACAAGAATGGTTGGGACAACAAACATCCATCTCGTTCGTACTTTGGATACCCGTATAACCATAAAAAACTTTTGAAGTTTCTAATTCCTTTGAATTAAGGGGCGTTGGGGACAAAGAAATTTTTGGAGTTACCTTTTATCTAGTATCAACAGCTTGATACTAAAAAAAAGAAAAAGATCTTTCGCAGGCTAAGGAAAGAACAAAATTTTCAGCACATTGATACGAATAAGTCTTTCTTTTTCTAAAAGCATAAGTAGTAAACATTTTGGACTAGGGTTCCCATACATGCAAACATACAAAAGAAAACCAAACAAAGATAGTTAGCATAAATAGGACTCCAGTAAGCATCGGAGTAGATCTCTACTAAACAAAGCCAAAGAAAGTCATGCATTAAAACACACTACTTTGCGTCTACAGACACTTATTTAAACCTTCTTAAAAAAAAAAGAGTCGACGGAATATTCTAGTATCCCCGGTGCCCGTGGGTGACAGCCTGCACTATGAGTGCTTGCTGCTCCGCCCGCAGCGCTTGCTGCCTCCCCTCCAAATCCTCGATACGCTCTCTGGCAGCGCGAATGCGCGCTTCTTTCCTGGCAGGATCCAGTGTTCTAACACTCCTCAAAAAGAGGTTTAGCACTCTACGGCGCTCTTGAATCTCATTTTGCAGTTGCCCCATTTCGGCAGCAATTGCAGAAAGCCTGTTTGCAGCATCCATAGCCATACGTGCTAGTACTAAATTTCTTTGATTTTCATTTGATGAAGTGAAGACACTTATCGAGCCTCCATTTATAGAGTGGTAGAGTAATATCGCCATGCAGTACGAATTGCATGGCTGGCACAATTCTTACTACTATAACCACGCAGCCTGTATGAACAAACAAACTTTGCAGAACCGTTTCACCTAATCGATCGTGGTGAAGTCAGCAATGGATTCGGCGGATCATCCACGTCACGAATTGGATGGCAGGCACAATTCTTACTAGTTCTCCGCACAACTTTTCTGCAGTTGAAGACTATCATGCCTGTTTCATGAAAAACTGGCTGGCTCTGGCTACCTTGCGGAGCAAACAAAAGATCCCCAAATCACACTGCCTGTATGAACAAACAAACTTTGTACAACCAGCTTACGTGGAAAAGATTCCATATTCTATGCCAATAGACTCGTGACATCCATGTACTGAGTCGTCAAATGAGCAAAGCCCAAGCTTATACGCATTGGCCCACAGGGTGCCCATCTTCAAGAAGGCCCGAATGAAAGACCCAAGCCTACATGAACCATCACAAAGAAAGTCCTACAAATGAAGACTCGGGCCTGTTTCGATGAAACCTCGATGAAAGCCCACAGAAGGGCCAAAGCACAACAAGCCTACCCATCATCAGCCAACCCCCCTCCCATGCGAAAGGATCAGGAAGGAAGAAACATTTTGCGGTATCGTATAGTTGAGAAAGGCTTCATTTAGGAGCGCTCTTTTCATCCAACTAGTTTTATCGTAATAGAAGAAAAAGAATCAGAACGCCCAAAAACTCCCATGTCTTTCTTGGTTGGACTAACCGGCGATTTACAACAAGTCTTTCTTCATTGCAAGAAGCGGAACCAATATACATTTTTCAGAAAGAATCTAAATTTTATGACAAATCCGGTCCGATGGCTGTTCTCCACTAACCACAAGGATATAGGGACTCTATATTTCATCTTCGGTGCCATTGCTGGAGTGATGGGCACATGCTTCTCAGTACTGATTCGTATGGAATTAGCACGACCCGGCGATCAAATTCTTGGTGGGAATCATCAACTTTATAATGTTTTAATAACGGCTCACGCTTTTTTAATGATATTTTTTATGGTTATGCCGGCGATGATAGGTGGATCTGGTAATTGGTCTGTTCCGATTCTGATAGGTGCGCCTGACATGGCATTTCCACGATTAAATAATATTTCATTCTGGTTGTTGCCTCCAAGTCTCTTGCTCCTATTAAGCCCAGCCTTAGTAGAAGTGGGTAGCGGAACTGGGTGGACGGTCTATCCGCCCTTAAGTGGTATTACCAGCCATTCTGGTGGAGCAGTTGATTCAGCAATTTCTAGTCTTCATCTATCTGGTGTTTCATCCATTTTAGGTTCTATCAATTTTATAACAACTATCTTCAACATGCGTGGACCTGGTATGACTATGCATAGATCACCTCTATTTGTGTGGTCCGTTCTAGTGACAGCATTCCCACTTTTATTATCACTTCCGGTACTGGCAGGGGCAATTACCATGTTATTAACCGATCGAAACTTTAATACAACCTTTTCTGATCCCGCTGGAGGGGGAGACCCCATATTATACCAGCATCTCTTTCGGTTCTTCGGTTTTCAATGGCCCTTTTCAGATTCAAATCTGAATACGCATTGCGCTATATGCTGGGACTGTCTGCTTAATGGTACTCCTACTATGTTCATAAGTGGTTTTCTAGTCAAACCCCGATCTAGTCAAAATGGAGTATCTAAGACACAATCAGCAGGTAACCAACGACATAAAAGCAGTCTAGTAGGAACCTCAGAGACTACACGCGCAACAACTTATCCTAAATCCTTCTGTTAGTGGCTAGCTGGAATTATCGATGGTGATGGAACTCTTCAAGTTAGTAAACAAGGATATACTTCTCTTTCAATTACTATGGGACTCGAAGATCTACCACTACTACGATATATCCAACATATGCTTGGTGGAAGTCTTAAAATGCGATCAGGTGCTAAAGCTTATCGTTATCGACTACATAATAAACTTGGTATGATGAAACTAATGAATTGTATTAATGGTCATATTCGACATGAAGCACGACTACTTCAACTACATCGTGTCTGTCAAGTACATTATATCCCTGTAATTCTACCTATTACACTATATGCTCAATCCAATTGGTTTGCAGGATTCTTTGATGCTGATGGTACCATTGGTATCGCTATGAAGCATCAACTACCTCAACTAAGTATTCGAGTAACTAAGAAACTTCT